CAGTGTATAGTATAAAATTTCTAATGTTTTTTATTTTTCTATAATTATTATGTTTGTATATTTATAAAAAATAAATTATTTTTAACCAAGATTTAAATTTTATTACTAGACTTCTAAATGTGTTGTTTAATTTTTAAAAAATTATGAAAATTTTATTTTTTTAATTTTAGAATATTTTAATTAATTTATAATGTTTAATTTTTTTATTTTTTGAAAAAGGGCTTACGGGCCCGGCCTTGAGCCCTTCGCATAAGAGCCGGACTTGAGAAACAGGGTTCAGAATAGGAAATCGGGCTTTAGGGCTCAGGCCCTTAAGGGCTGGGCCCGCCCGTATTTCCAACTCTAATCGCATGGGCATTTAGTTTAGTTTTAAGGATAAAACTCAATAGATTGTGAAAGGTTAGTACTCTTTTTATTAAAAAATATAAAATATTTTTAATTTAATATCATTTCTTAATAAAATAATTACTTATATTCAAACTAATTATATCTTTTTATATTTATCCTTGTTTAATAAGGTGTTTTGCTTTATAATAAATATAAAGTGATTTATTTAATAAGGATGTTTTTGAAAAGAAAATAATGATTGTATCTTAAAAGATTAAAGATATCTTATATTTTGAAACATCCAACCCTTTAAAAAATGTGTTATATTTTAAAATGTAGGGAGTATTTTTTATAAAATTAATGAATATTCATGTATGTGTCATTATTAACTTAAGAATAACTTAAGTTCATAGGATTTTTTTTTTTTGAGTACTTTCACACTTTAACACAATATTATATTGGTCAACGGGCCATGCTGTTTTGAATGAATTTAATGAATGAATGCTTATGATCTGCAAACAAAGTATTTTATTCTACTGTAATTTATATTTTCATTAATATTGATAACGATGATTTTACCATTTTCGTCTTAAATATTTGTTTTTAAATTACGATTGCATAGCAAAATTGTTTAGCCTATCGATTTTAAGAAATTATTCTAAAAGACATGAGGATATACAAATAACATATATAATAACCTATCCCGTTATTTTTTGAATCATTTTATTTTCTTCCTTACTCATCTTGTTTTACTACTGTCTTTTCAAGAACTTCCATGTCCAAGAAGAAATGAAACCTAATTGAAGTTGCAAAGTGACGTTCATTCAAACTTGAAAGAGAGTAATTGTTCTTCCCCTTCTAAATAAATAAGTTTGTTAGCTACTGATTCGCACAAAATATGCTGCCAAAAAAAAAAATCACAGAAAATAACAACAGTTTAACTGGTTATTCATTCGAGTAAACAAGTCGCTCTCTAATATGAATTGATGATCCTTTTCTACTGGTCACTGGACATAAAAAACACACTCCCTTCATTAAAAAAATATAAGGTATTTTTAATTAAATTTCATCCATAATTAAATAATTATTTGTTTTTAAACTAATTTTATTTTTTCATATATATTTTTATTTAATTAAACGTTTTAAGGATATTTAAAAAAAAGATAATAATTATATCTTAAAATATGTTAAAAACATCTGACTCTTCAAAACATAATTCACATTTTTTAACCAGAATACGTAATTAGATGGAGCAAAAGGTTGCATGCGAGGAATAAAATGCTTTTAAGAATGACACATTCAATAAAGATAAAATGGAAATATTCGTTATTAACGTGTCCCCATTTTGCTACAGTTTTTCCGAAAAATCTGCCTTACATTAATTTAGTATAATACTTCTTCTGATAAAATATAAGATACTTTTAATTAATATTAAAAAAAGTTAAAAGTGGGTTGCAGTATTAGAGTAGCGAAAAATTACCATTACTTTCAAATTAAAATCAATTTATCTTAATTATTTTAATTTCTTTTTATATAATCTCTATTTACAATATATTCAATAAAGACAATCGTGGTAGAGAATTTTTTGCTATTGACTTTTTACAAAATGTTATGCATTTTGAAACCAAGAAAATGTCCCATATTTAAATTGGAGCGAGTATTTTACAGTGAAAATATTGTGTAAAGAAATTGAAGTAGTTTTTTTTTTTTAAAAAAAAATGATCAACGAAACAGGTAAAGGAGATTGAGTTCTTGATCAAAACAATCCCTAGTCCAAGTATTTTTCTTAACCCGCTCAAGACTAAGGTGCTCTGTTTCCCGGTTCTGTTTACAATGTAAGGAGAATATTTATTTAAATTATATTTATAAGTTATATCATACTTTCTCCTCCATTCAAAAATATAAAAAAAATTTTAAGGAATTGAATGTTAAAAAAAGTAAGGTGCTTTTAATTTTTTAAAATGTAATTATTGTCTTTTTTTTAAATTTCTTCAATTGATAATAACTTTATATTTATTATAAAGTATTTAATAAAAATAAATATAAAAAGATAGGGTTAGTTGAAAAGTAAGTGACTATTTTATTGGGAGTAAATTTGAATAAAAATGCCTTATATTTTTAAACGGAAGGAGTAAAATTTTTGTTACAAATTTTTTTCCAATTTCCATTAAATATTGAAATTAGAAATTATATTATTAAAATAAATATATCTAATAAAGATAAAATTAAAAATTTATTAAATTTTTAGGTAGGATAAATGAATTAAATTTTTAAACAAGATTAATAGGTTTTTAAAATTTTTATTAATTCGAGTAATAAATCTTAGAGGCGATGGAGCGTAGTACCAAGAGTGAACATGCTTGAAGATTTCAATTTCCAAAGCGATGAATGAGAATAAACGCTTGAGACTGTGTTTCACGCACATTGAAATCACCAATAAATTAAACTATTGTTTCCCTATCAAATTATAAAATATTTTAAAAAAATTTAATATTACAAAATATAAGATATTTAAAATAAAAATAAAATTTTATTAATAATTATTTTTCAATACTTATTATACTCGCTCTTTAATATTTTTCGTAAACAGAATATTTAATAAAAATATTTTTAAAAATTTATATTTTATCTAAAAATAAAATTATATAATATATTCACTAAATTTTATTAATATATATAATTTTATTTAAAATTATTTTATAATTCCAGAGAGAGTACAATCGTAGTCCTAGTATAACTCCATTAATTTAAAATTAAGAGAGAGAGGCGAGGGGGAATAAATATTGTTTCCAATGCCGACAAAAATTCTATTGCCCTCCTCGGTTCTCAAGCCTATTACCCGTTGCATCTTTTTAAGCACTCAATTTTATTAAACTCTAGTCAATGAATATGAAATTAATTAATTATACTGAGTAAATTTTTAAAGTAATTCTCTCTTCATTAATCCCTTCTTTATCATTTTTTCCCCCTCTCCAATCAATTTATTATTCCTAAACTTATAATTTTTTATTGTTTATAAATATTTTTTATTCAAGACAATTCTTTTTAAAATCATGTTAGGATATGAAACGTAGGTGCCCTTCCAACAAGGCAAACCTACATTTCTTTCTTTCTTTCTTTGTTTTTTTTACCAATATTCCTATACCAACATTTGCTGATTCATTTTACTAACCACTGTCATAGAGGATGACATCTCTCTATTATATGACGTTTTTTAAAATAATCTTCATGCTTAAAAAATTATGAATTAAAATTTTCAATTTAACAGCAAATTACTTAAAAAATAATTTAATTTTAATTTAATATTTCTATATAATTTTTTGAATTTTATGTTTTTATTTTTAGTAAGACTAAAATTAATTAATTTTAAAATAAACTTTACAAGTTAACTGCTTTGCTTAATTATTTTATGAGTGGACTGAAAGTGATTCATAATAAGAATGAAAAAATAAAAAAAATATAAAAGTGTTATATAATTAAAATTTAATAAAAATAAATAGAGGAGGCTTATAATAAATAAATAAATAGAGAGGGGTGGGGGGTGGAAATCGAGAAACAGCGACGGAGGGAAAGGCATGAGCTGTGGGCGCATCAGACAGATTCTATTTCGCGGCATCCAACGCAGAATATCTCAATCAATCTCCCCCCATCCCCGCGTATCTTAGCATTTCTCCTTCCCTCATTCTATTTTTTTTTTACTTTTTTATTTCTCCTGCAACAGGGAAACTTTTTAATCTTTTTTATTTTTTTATATTTTTAACTATGATTATTTTATTAAAATAAACTTTAAATAGTGCAGTGCATTCTAGCAGGTGGGGCCACCTGTGGCTTTTGCAGAATGCGACTTAGAATTTTCTTGCGCTCTTTAGCTATGAACAAGTTTGTATTTTAACATTTTTAATTATCTACTAAACTATCAATATTTATATATTATATCTAAAAACCTCGCATTTGCCCAGGTGGGTTTCTTTCATTTGTTTTGTTTTTTACTATTTCCTTACTACAAATTTAAACTGTTTAAATTGAATTTATATTTTTAAAAATTATTAAATTATTAAATTTTAAATTTAATTTAATGATTTAAATCTACATAAATTTTTTTTCTTTTTGCAGGCGAGAAAATCTAACTTTCATTCACACAGTTTGGTCAGAAAGAAAAAAAACTCCCATTTACACAACCAATGAACTGAATTGAATAGTTATAGAAGTAGTTTTAATAATATAATATTTATAAAAGTTATGAATATAAATGATACTTCTTTGATCCATTATAATAATCACTTTTTTAAAAATATAATTTAGGTCACCTTATAAGTTATTAATGGATGAAATTATTTTATTTTAAACTGAAATTTTTAAATTATTTTTAAAAAGTAAGAGAGAGAAAGATAAAAAATAATATTATATTATATATTTTTTTTTATTTCTATTGATAATTATATTTAAAATTTTATTTATTTATTTTTATTATATTGATATTATTAAAATTAGTAAAAATAATTATAAATAAAATTGAGGGTAGAGCTAATTTCAGATAATTTGCATGTGTACGACCAGTCCACCGAGGTCTAGTCTAATTTTATTTTTACTGAATTCTTGAAATGAAGCCGAAAGCAAACAAAGGCGGAGACAATCCAACCACGTGACCTGTCAAAAACTTACCTGCAAAATTTGCTTTCGCATAAGACATTGTCCATTGTTCTCTCTCTCTCTCTGATCAATCCCTTACATCCCTTCAGTCCAATCACCGTAATTAGAAAAGGAAAAGAGAGAGATTACCTTTTATAATTATGTATTGTACTGTTTTTCCTCTCTTCTCAATTAATTTTTAAAGAATTTCGTTACTGGTTTTTCATCTGTGTCCGTGTCGACTTTGGCGTTTTGCTTCGGCCTTTGTGCGGTTGATTCTAGCTTCTTTGGGCGTGCGTGAATGAATGTGGGTGAGCAAGTGAGTTTTGTGCTCTTTTTATTCCGCTGTCTGCAAAAAGAAACAAGATAATGGGGGTGGTGGAATCACTGGCAACTAGCAGACCAGAGCTAGAAGCCAAAGCTTGTAGAAGGTAGAAACCGGAGCCCCAAACTCAGATCTCAAGGATCTTAGAATTTCAGGCTTCAATTAGTTTGGTTCTTTCTCTAGAAAGTTTTGTTCATTCATCTTGGTTCGATTCAAATTCTCCATTTTCCGAGCTGGTTTGGTGGTCATTGCGTGAGGTTCTTGTTTTGGAAATAGTGGACTTTGCTTTATGGGAATCTGATTCCGAGAGTGGCTTTTTGTTCGGATAAGGCAATACATACACTTGCTCTCTGGTTAGAATGGCTTGTCCAATTGCTAATTATGAACTGGTTGCGTGAAGGAACTAAGGATAAGTGTTTCTGGACTGAGAATATAGAGTTATGGAAACTACCGGTTCGGTTTTCTGGCTTCTGGCTTTGCTGCTTCTGGCGTTGATGGAGATTTCTTCTGCGGCGCTTTCTCCTTCTGGGATAAATTATGAAGGTTGTCTCTTGGAACTTTCCTATTTTGTTTATCGATATTATTAGCAGAACTTACAAATAGAAAGATAATCTGATGTATTAAGATGGATAATTGAATATATTGGCCTTTATAATTTATATATGCTAGAAATTACTAGCCCCAGTAGCAACAAGATTAAAGTTAATACCATCTTTTATTTATTTATTTATTTTTGGGTTTTGTTTTCCTCAAGAATTTGGACTCCATATACAATTTATAGACCTTAAACCTAACTTTTATTTATTTATTATTATTGATTTTTTTGACCTGTAATTATTTTTGATTGTGATGTACCCGGAAAAGGAAAAGAGAAGTTTCATATTAAAGTTCTAACCCTTTATTGTTTGTTCCTCCCAGTTGTAGCTCTGATGGCCATAAAAAATGAATTACATGATCCCCACAGTGTCCTGGAGAGTTGGGATATTAATTCTGTCGATCCTTGTAGCTGGAGGATGATTACTTGTACTCCAGATGGCTCCGTCTCTGCTTTGTAAGCTTCTTAGACTTCTATACGTTTTCAAAGAAGCAAACTTGTTCCTGGAGATTTTGATTTGGGAAAATGACTCAAGTTTGTTCGTCCGTTTCCTGGTTTGGGATTTTACTAAAAGGGTTCTTTCTTTGTTTTTCTTTTCAGAGGATTGCCCAGTCAGAACTTGTCTGGTAAGCTATCTCCTGGGATTGGAAATTTGACGAACTTGCAATCTGTGTAAGTTGCAATCTACCTTCGCAAAGGCTTTTGATATCTGGGTTCTGCTTTCAATGTTGGTTGGGTTTAGGATTAATGCTTTAGTTTCTTTGCTGTTTCTTCAACACTTTCTCTAGCATACTCTTGCTTGGACGCGAGCATATTGATTCAGATTCTAAGAACACAAAATTAGCTTTGAAGATTGAAACTTTTTCGTAAATTGTGCAGGTTGCTTCAGAACAATGCCATTTCTGGTTCAATTCCCGCGGCTATAGTAAAGCTGGAAAAGCTTCAGACGCTTGATCTTTCCAATAATACATTTAGTGGTGAGATACCTAGTTCTCTGGGGAGCCTCAAGAACCTGCATTATCTGTAAGTTTCAAAAGCATTGCTATCATAGAGATGTTAGTGTGATACAGAAATTATAGTTTGATTCTTTCTTAAATTCTTGCTTTAGAAACTGTCTCACGTTGAATTGTCTTTTGAGCATTCTAGGCGGTTGAATAATAACAGCCTCTCAGGATCTTGCCCTCAGTCTCTTGGCAACATTGCGGGTCTCACCCTTGTGTGGGTCTTTATTTCCATAGTACTTGCTTTAATTTTTCTACAATTTGCTCCATTTTTCTATGTTTTTATGTTCAGACATTGAGGGCAAATTTATAACGTTAATTTTCCAATAAACTTGGTACTTTAACTAATGCCGCTTAAAAATCCATATAGGGATCTCTCTTATAACAATTTGAGTGGTTCGTTGCCAAGAATATCAGCAAGAACATTCAAGTATGCTCATTTCTGTATTTTTTAAATGCTTCCTACAAATTCTCAACAATGGAATTTCGTAAATCTCTTGCTTAATTTTGAACTTCCAGGATTGTGGGAAACTCTTTGATTTGTGGTCCAAATGCTAATAATAACTGCTCTAATGTTCTGCCGGAGCCACTTACCTTTTCCCCAGATTCTTTAAGAGGTAATGATGGTATCTATATTTTTCTTGTTCTGTTAAATAATTTATCTGAAGCAATTCCATCACATGTTTGGGTGTTGGGATTTTGGTGGCCTAGCCCAATCAGCATCTGGAACAAAAAGCCACCATGTTGCAGTTGCTTTTGGAGCAAGTTTTGGAGTTGCTTTTGTCATTGTGATTGTGGCTGTCTTTATTGTTTGGCTGCGATACAGACACAACAAACAGATATTCTTTGATGTTAACGGTTGGTCTTTGCCCTCCTATTTATATATTTATTGGTAGAAGTGGTATATTTATAACCCTATTCCATGCTGCTATTATAGATTTTACATTTTTCTAACGTCTGTTTGTGATGCTGGCTGTAAACATTTTGCAATTGACAGAGTTTTTTTTTTCCTGGCTTTGATTGTGATGTTTATTAAGTAAATGTTTATTACTTGGCAGAGCAATATGACCCAGAGGTGCGCCTTGGCCATTTGAGAAGGTATTCATTCAAAGAACTTCGAGCTGCAACAGATCATTTCAGTTCAAAGAACATTCTTGGACGGGGTGGCTTTGGAATAGTCTACAAAGGGCGCTTCAATGATGGCTCTGTTGTAGCAGTTAAAAGGTTGAAGGACTATAATGCTGGTGGTGGCGAAATTCAATTTCAGACAGAAGTTGAGACCATAAGTTTGGCTGTCCACCGGAATCTCTTGAGGCTTTGTGGGTTTTGCAGTACTGAAAACGAAAGGCTCCTTGTTTATCCATATATGCCTAATGGCAGTGTAGCCTCTCGATTAAAAGGTAAGTTCAGTGGGCATTTTACCAACAGTCATGAAATTAGTGTTTTTTTTGGGAGAACCATATTAGAATTCTGTTCATCCAATGTGGGACTCAAGTCCCATTCCTTTGTTTTGGGTTATAAAACTACGTTGCTCAAAACTTGCTTAGTGCTTCTTGGCATGGAAGACACTTCCTTGTTACCCACTTATCACTTGTTACCAGGCCAAGCAGTGGGATGACCAATTATTATCTGATATGGTGCTACATATGCACGATGCACAATTCACAAGCTGAAATATATTGAAAAAAGAATATTATGACATGCTTCCTTGGGGTTACCTGTTTTTGGTTACCAGCTATTCAGTCAGAACTATGGCAATCTTTCCCTGCTAAATCACCATTTTTAAAAGCAGCTTGTAATTTCTGTTCAGGAGTCGGGGCCATACTAGTAACCATCATTGTCTCTGGTCTTTTTATTTTAAACAGATCATATTCATGGTCGACCAGCCTTAGACTGGGTGAGGAGGAAGAAAATAGCTTTGGGTACAGCGAGAGGATTGGTTTACTTGCATGAGCAATGCGACCCTAAAATCATTCACCGTGATGTGAAAGCAGCCAACATTTTGTTGGATGAAGACTTTGAAGCAGTTGTCGGTGATTTTGGTTTGGCAAAGCTTCTGGATCACAGAGACTCCCATGTAACTACAGCTGTGCGTGGGACCGTCGGTCACATTGCTCCAGAATATTTATCGACAGGCCAGTCTTCAGAAAAGACTGATGTGTTCGGTTTTGGGATCTTACTGCTCGAGCTGATCACAGGTCACAAGGCTTTGGATTTTGGACGAGCAGCAAACCAGAAAGGTGTAATGCTTGATTGGGTACTCTCCGTCCCTAAAATCCTCTCTGGTTTTAGCACATAGAACTGTTGAAATCCTCGATTATCTATTTCCAACAGATAAAGATAATTTGTTGGCATTCTAGACGCTCTCTTCCATATGACAGCTAAATAATTTTCTGTTCTTTTAAGATGGATAAATTCCAGCCTACCCCTACTATGGTTGGAGATCAATGGGCCCCTTGCTTTAGAAATTGTTAGTTTTCCAAATTAGATTCTCTACTCTTCTGCTTCTCAGCTTTTTAGTTGTCCCTTTTAAATTTTTTTATTTTTGAGTGACATGTCAACAATATTTCTTTAAAAAAGTTGGCCTTTAAAATACAACCATTAAAAATGCCAAAATGAAGTTATTGTATTTTGAGTCGTGTAAATTTGAAACGGATGACTCAGAAAGAAGAAAAGCAAAGAATAGTGGAGGAGGGGGAGTAGAGAACCCAGTCTAGTCATTTAATCCTTTGCTTGTTTTGATACTATTCTTGTAGAACAAACATTACGAATTGGACGAGACGTTGAACCATGTTTTGGCAGACTGATTCCTGGTCAAACCAGATGAGAAAATTCTAACCTGCCCCTTAGATTATAGGTTGCATACAATGCAAATAATTTCATCTACTAGTTGGGTCTTGAATTCTTTGTAAATCGCTATCTTCAATCACTACTATCCTTGAGTTTAATGTGAAGCAACTAACTTGCAGGTTAAGAAGCTCCACCAAGAAGGAAGATTAAGTCAAATGGTTGACAAAGATCTGAAGGGGAACTTCGATGCAGTTGAACTGGAAGAAATGGTTCAGGTGGCACTGTTATGTACACAATTTAATCCTTTGCACAGACCTAAGATGTCAGAAGTTTTGAAGATGTTGGAGGGAGATGGCTTAGCTGAGAGGTGGGAGGAAGCTTCGCAGAAGTCAGAGACAAGGTTCAGGTCTTTCGAAAACCCTCCTCAAAGGTACTCAGATTTTATAGAAGAATCTTCACTCATACTTGAAGCTATGGAGCTTTCTGGCCCTCGGTGAGAATAACCATCTTGGTTTTTCACTGTTAAGAAAATGGTGTCACACGTCATTTTCCTGGGGTATATGCTCGAATCCATGTGTAAAAAGAAAAGGGGAAAATCAGATCATGTATAATTATTTTTCTTCTTTGTTTGGGGGGTCCCATGCGGTTGGATCGACAAATTTTTCCAGTCAGTGTCTGAAGAATTGTACATAGCTGCTCATGGCTCCTTTTTGTTGTCTTGGCGCCTAAGCAATCTCGTATACCCGATAGTTTGTGAACATAAAACTTATTAGTTTGACCAGATGAAGAGTGTTAAATTTTGAGTCTAGTGGATGAAGTTTATGATTGACAATAGATAATTAGTTACTATTATTAAGGTTACTTGTCTAGAAATGTGTTATTTTTGTTCAAAAGTAGAGAGTGAGTGGGAGGAATATAGATTATCAAATAACTATTCATTAGAAATGAACTATATCTTTTGATATTTTAAGGTTTGTCATTAAAGAAACTAAAGTTTCTAGTAAGTAATATGATGGATGGATAGAAAAAATAAAAGCAAAAAAAAAAAAAAGATCAAAATGTGAGGAGTTATCGGCAAATTATATTGGAGAAAAGTAATTTAATTCATAAAATGAAAAATTATGGTTCATAAAATTTTTAAAAAATATGATATTTTTTCATTTATGATATATATTATGGAGTTTTATCATCCTTATCACTAAGAAAAATAGTAATTTAGTTAATTTTTATTTTAATTTTTTCAGTACATTTCATTTTCATCATTTTTAATAATATAAAATAACCTAAAACTTTATGGAATACTTGGCAGCAAATTTGTTAACTGCTCTTTGGATAATTGATTGTAAACTCTTATGTAGCATTTGAAATTATAGATAGTGAAAGTTAAATTTAATTTGATATGTATACACACTCATACAAACTCTTGGAACTTTCTTTGTCCATGGAAGAAAAGTGGAACAAAGGTGGGAAAAAGAATATTTTTGGATTGCTTACTGATGTTTTTTGGGCGGAAGTAAATCTTGTTCAAAATATAATCAAACATTAAATATAAACACCTCTCCCATTAAAGATTTGTCTCCCATTAAAGATTTGTCACGTAGCAAGTAACTAATCTCTTATTAGACATAATCATCATTGGTAGATTTAATTAGGGCATCTCTCTTGGTCAAAACTCCAAAAAAAAAAAAAAACCTACTAGGTCTTAACACAAGGATAAGTGGCCTTTTTCTTAACAAAATTTTATTGCAAGACTAAGGGAAAATTTGTGAACCCTCCAATAGAAGGAAGTTTATTATTGAGAGGTGGCTTGAATTTTATAAAATACTTTTAAATTTTACATCTTATGTATTGACAATATGATTAAAGGCATTGATAATTAAGCAACGCTAATAAACTTTCTTATGTAGAATTTAAATGTAATTTTTTTTCAAAAAAAAAAAGTATTGAGCTAAAAAAATTCTGAAAGGCGTAAAATTAAATATAAAAAGTTAGGGTCCAAGCAAGATTCATAATACCTAGTGGGCTAATGCACATATCAGCCCAATTAAGGAAATCCACAACGTTGGGCGCGATAACTTTCCATTTGCCCAGTTAATGAAATCCTTAAGCCCCGAATGATTGGACAACTAGCGAAGTCCCAATATGTCAAGTACTTTATGAGCCCAGGATATAAGCCCAATACATCTTCTGGCTGAAAGCCCAATATTGCCTAAAACATGGGCTAGAAACTTGAACCCAATCGATTAAGATAGAAACAAATTAAATTCTAAAATCTTAAGGTCCAACTTGCACAAGTCCAAAATGCTAGAAACATTTTAGGCAAAATGTTTCAGAGATTGGGTGTGAGAACAGAGGGTGTGATGGTACATAAGCCCAGAAGGAAAGCCCAATGTCAAACAGTGAGACCAAACATTTTTTTGTAGTCCTTAATTTTCAGATCAAAAAGGTTTTGGCCCAATAATGAGAACCGAAACTCCTCTCTTGCCTCCGTTTCCTCGTTAGTCGTTCCCCATGTTAGGTCAGCATGTACAATTTGGGCCGGAAACTTGAATCCAGCCCAGAAAACATTGAGAAAGAAAACCCAACTGTAGGCCCAACATCAATAGAGGTGTTCAAGGTACAGAATTCAGGGCTGTTATTACCAGGAAAAAAAAAGTCAGGTTTCTTTTTTTAAAAAAAAAATAATGCATTGTCTTGATGCTTTTCCACAACACGAAATCCTTTATTGCATCAAATAGAACAAGATTGGCAAGGTTATTTGGGCATGTTAGCGGTGGCCAGTGCATAGATTGGGTTTCTCTCTACTATGTTTTTTTTTTCAACTGTAAATTTAAACCATTTAAATTTTTTAAAATTATCAAATCCAAATCATCAAATTCAATTTAATTGTTTAGATTTATAATATTTCTTCCACCACAAAAGAAGAAAGCCAACTCTCCAATACACAGGGGGAGAGGTTCCTCTCTTTTTCCTTTTCCATCCTCTTCTCTCCTCTTACTAATTTCTAACCATTTGATTTGGATAGTTTAGATTTGATTTTCTATAAAATATTTATTTTTTAATTTTATTTTTACTGTATCTTTATTATACATATTAAGTTGTATTGGTTTGATTTTTAGTATTTATATATTTTTATAATTTAATATTTTAATAATAATTTTATAAAAGATTAAATTTCAACCATTTAAATTTTAATTTAATGGCTTATGAGAGAAGAAAAGGAAGAGAATGAGATGGGAAAAGGGGAGAATCCTCTCCCGTGCACATGGGATCTGCACAGCACATTATGGCTCGGCACATCACTATGAGCAGCCCAATTCCGCATACTTACGACGTCGTGTTGCCGCTTTTAACCAGCAACCGGCTAACCGCATTGCTACAAGACTTGCCAGCCTGAAGGAAAAGAGGTTTTTACACAAAAACCCAGATTTTCTAATCCCTTTAATATTCGAATTAATTTTTAATAAATTGGAATTAGAGTCAATTTTAACATCATATTCATAAATAATTATTACTATATATATAAATTATAATTAAAAATAATTTTTTGAAAATTTAATGACAATATTTTTAAAATAGATATTTTTTTAAAAAATATTAATCATTTAATTAATTTTTTTAAAAAGGAAGGCTTATACGAAATTTTCAAACCAATTTAACTCTTCAAGAACTGATTGATGAGCTGAGGTTTGAATTTGATAGCAGTAGCGACGAATTTCCTAAATTGGGAGTATTTTTGGGTCTTGAGATGTGAATTACCCAAAAGTTTAAAAACAAGAATCACGACTTCACGAGCACGCACGGGATGGGACCCAGGGAGGGACCATCAAAATGCAAAAGCTAGGAGCCCAGGACCTGAGGAGAAAAGTTTAGGTGTGTGTTGGGAAGAGCGTGCTCCCGCCATCAGAAGTCCATCATGACGGTCGATTCTTTTACAGAGGACACGTGTCAGAATCACATGGCTTTAGTACCAACACCGTCCAACGCCCCGCCCGGAATTCCACCACGTCGCTCCACACCTTCCCGACACCACTATGAAGATTTGTGCTCTTCTGCGAGCGCCACGTGTCCCTTCTTCCATACCTGCCTTCTTCTTTTATTATTTTTGTTTTGGATAAACTTATTCTTATTAAGTTTGTTGGTGAGCGGTAAGTGTTAATTGAGGGCACTTGCCATTTGGGCCCTTGGGCCACACATGAAATTACAAACTAGCTCCTCACTATTTTTCAACATTATTCTTGTTTAGGAATGCACAGGACGTCAATAATACAGACACACTTGGTTAATTAATCATGTGACTCTACCACCTCCAAAAGGGAAAACGGCCAATGTAGCAAATAGAATAAAAATGCATACAATTCATAAATTTAATATGCCCTGCCAATTGCTGTGTTATCTTTATAACTTAAATGTACTTCTTTCCACATAGGACATGATAATTATTTTATCACAATTAAAAGGATACAATTACATAATTAAAATAGTCTAAAAAAGATAAAATTTTAAACGAATACCATGATTTTTTCAAAATCAGGTAGTTGTAAAATGGGATGATTTTAAAAATAATAATAAATGTTTCATATAACTATACGAAATGATTAGCATAAAGAATCGTCAAATTATTCTAAAAGATTAAAAATAGATGGGATAAGGAAGGAATAATCCATAAAATTTTCATTTTAAAACATGTCAATTATAATTGTAATTTATAAATAAGGCAGATATCCACTTTGAGGTCAAGAGTCTAATTTACTCCTATGGTATAAAGTCAAATTTTCAAATATTTTTAGTATAGATAATAGATAGATAGAGTAGAATATCTATTTGACCCATTCATCTTGAAAAGATATAGTATAACAGCTTGATGCTATTAGACAATTAGTTACAAAAAAATATAAGTAAGTGTTTTTTTTTTTTTTTAACCTACACGATATATGTAGTTATATTTTAACTTATACTCTACAGTATCTATCTCCGATCACCGCTATTAAAGTTCGAATCTTAAAAGAAATTCCCTCGGAGGAAGCTGATAAAGATTATAATATATAAATTCAACAACAAAGTGGTTCCAGCAAGTAAAGAAGATTTTACTGATTCCATTATAGAATTCTTTTCCTGGACCGGTCTCTGATTATCACATGAACCTAAACATTAACAACAAAGTTACAATTTGGTTTAATGTTGTTTCGGAGTCAGAAACAATGTAAAATTGTAGATGAGAGAAAGGTGGTTTGGGAAATACACAATCACAGAGGCTGTGATTTCCCTCTCTTCTTATTTTGTCGCTCTCCCTTGATCTCTCGATGCTTCTCATCCGCAGAAACCTGTTCCAAAAACCATAAACCATAGTCTCTTGTTTTCATTTAAAACGACTGCTCTGTGATTTTCTTCCTCAGCGAAGCATGCATGGGGTGTGCTTGTTTGTCGGCGATGTTGGGGTTGAAGAGACTAGCATTATCATCTGAGACGATTTTCACGCCCAGAAAGAAGCTGTTCTCGTTTAGTTTACTCGTTGCTCTTTATCTTGTAGTTTTTGCTCTACTCTTACCCAACAATTCCTTCTCTGATTCGAAATTTCATCATCCTTCGTCGTCTCCATCAGCAAATGTGTCGGGGACACAATATGGGACTCTTTTGAGGGATTCCATTGACAACATTAAAAATGCAAGCTTGCATGTCGGAGAACAGAGTTTTCAGACAAAAGCCAGTGAAGATAATCGTACGGCCACGACTTTTTCAGATTCTAATGTTCAGAAGAATTCATCTGACATAATTAAAGATAAATGCTCTTCGGGAGAAACAGACAGAAACACTGCGAATATAGCCCGCGGAACTATGGCGGCAGTGTCGCTGAAGAATTCTAGTTTTAGTTCAGAAAGTCACATTGTGGGTAATTTCTCTCAGGGGAAGCTTGTGGGAGATTCGATTGAGAACCGTAATGCGAGTTTGATTCATCGTAGGAATTCCCAACCAGAGGAAACGAAGAAGGTCGGTTTATATAAAGACTGTGACATCTTTGATGGTAAGTGGGTGAGAGATGATTCAAAACCGCTCTATCCCTTGGGTTCTTGTCCACATATCGATAAGTCCTTCGATTGTCATCTTCATGGAAGGCCAGATACAGACTATGTCAAGTGGAGATGGCAACCCAATGGCTGCGACATCCCAAGGTAAGATTACAAGGAAACTATTATGTTTTCTGGTTTTTTTTCCTTCTGGTATGGTTTTTTTTAATGATAATGATGTTTCAGATTGAATACTACTGATTTTCTGGAGAGGCTGCGAGGTAAGAGGCTGGCTTATGTGGGGGATTCACTGAACAGGAACATGTGGGAGTCAATGGTGTGTACATTCCGACACAGTATACGGAACAAGAAGAGAGTTTATGAAATCTCAGGAAGGACAGACTTCAAGAAGAGAGGTTTCTATTCCTTTAGATTTGAGGTAAGTTTCTTCCAAGATTAAAGCTATGACACGTTTCAAAGTTTGAATCTTGTCATGCTTATCTCATGTTTGCTGTGAATATTGATATAGGACTATAATTGTTCGGTGGACTTTATTGTGTCACCTTTCATCGTTCGGGAATCTAGTTTCAGAGGCAAAAATGGAACCTTTGAGACATTAAGGCTGGACTTGATGGACAAGAAAGCTAGTACGTGTCATGACGCTGACATCATAGTCTTCAACACAGGCCATTGGTGGACCCATGAGAAAACATCTCGAGGGTGAGTTGTTTCATCCTTCCCTTAATCTGTTCTCTGAAGTTTGTCTCTTAAACACAGTAAAATTTTCTGCTCATAAACATTTGGAACTAAGGCTTTGTTTGGTTGTTTTTGTTATCACAGAGAAGAGTATTATCAAGAAGGTAACAGTGTGTACCCAAAGCTTGGAGTTCTGGATGCATATAGGAAGGCTTTGACCACATGGGCCCGGTGGGTTGACCGAAACATCGATGCCAATCGAACTCAGGTTTTCTTCAGAGGATACTCACAATCCCATTTCAGGTATCTGTGTTACTTACTTAGCCCTCCAAACACCAGAAAGTTCAATTATTCTTCAGTTGACTACACATAAACTGAATCTGGTTGTGTTGATGAAAATTCGTAGGATTATTTTTTGCAACCTTAATTGTGCTAACAGATTATGGAACAACTTAGGTGAACACCCTTAATTGTGAAACAGATCTAGTGAATTATCTCTAGGTCCATCAGCATTTTTAAGGCTCATTTGATAGATTTGACATCACAAGGCAATAAAACAAGAACAAAAATCAATTATAAACCAGTCTGAGATTTGGTCCAACAATGGAGGACCAAAATAAGGTTTCAGTGACTAACAATTTCACACGTTATATTTGTGCACAGTAAAAATCTGTAGACAGAATTTTAGGGTATCTGAATCTAAATTAACTCATGCCTGATTCTCTGATACTATATCTGTTATATAGTTGTGATTGGTTTCATTCCTCAGCGGGAATGCCTTCAAATCTGACATGATGTGAACTATATTGTATACTATATGTGTTACCTTTTAATAATATACTGTCTGGTATGGTTGATTTGCAGTGGTGGGCAGTGGAATTCAGGAGGGCAGTGTCACAGAGAAAGTGAGCCGATATTCAACGAAACATACTTGCAAGAATATCCGGGGAAAATGAGAGTGGTGGAGCAAGTGATCCAGAAAATGAGAAATCCAGTGACTTATATGAACATAACTAGGCTTACAGATTACAGAAAAGATGGGCATCCTTCAATATACAGAATGAAATATCAATCAGAAGCAGAATGGAAATCTGCTGAGTCATCTCAAGATTGTAGCCATTGGTGCTTGCCTGGAGTACCTGACACTTGGAATGAATTGCTTTATGCTTCTCTCTTGCAACATGGAAAAGGTGAATGGAAAAGCTGAGATAAATTCCACGGACTCTCTTTCATTCTCTTATGAAATACTATACATAGGCAAAAGTTTTGGATTCTGGTGCTGAAATTCTTGAAGAGTCAATGCTTGAAAACTGCACCTAAATCTTGTACTTTTTTTGTTGCTTCTCTAGTTTCAACACTTGTAGATTATCATCTTTATATGAAAGAGTGTAATGATTATGCTGCTTTTTTTTTTTTTTTCATTCCTCTCTTCCAGTTTCTAAACTTCCCTTGAAAGGCATTGGTATTGAAGTTCAAACATGAATCTTGTCATGTGTGTGAGAGAGAGAGAGAGAGAGAGAGAGAAATAGGGTCAGAAATATAGTCATTGAGTTGGATTTGGTATCGCATTACTTAAGATGGATCTATTTATATGGTTTTCCTGTTGGATAAAATTAGGTTGCCAGATACAAGTTTAAGCAAAGTGAGGAGGTAGACTCCCAACAAAAACTCATTAGAATAACTAATAAATAACCAATAAAATATACAATTATTAACATTCATGCCATGCATGTTTCCATTTTTTGTCAAACCTATCTCTACCATGCTTTAATTGTAATTTTGCCGGTAAAAAAATTTTAATTTTTAATCATTCAAATCAAATTTTAACAATATAAATCAATTTATATTTCTACAAACTGCTGATCATTCTGTGTCATTAAATTTAATTTGATGGTTCAATGGTGCAATAGAATATCCACTTAGTGGGGGAAAAAACCATCCTTGATTAGGATAGTTTTTCTTTGCACAATTGCAATGGACAATTCACAAATTCACAAGCATAAATTGAGGCTCATAATCGCAAATTAATTTAAATATTGAATTGAATTTAAAATATAAACGCATTGACATTTTGATTTTTCTTATCATAAACAAACAATATTGTCTCATCACTAAAAAAACAAATACTTTAATTTTTAAGGTCCGCATACTGCACTGGCTAACAAAGCTAATTCTTAGAATATATTATACTATGTAAGACATGGCACGGCATCGTTAAACATGAAAAATACATTGCTGATAGTGATGAGTGATCTTGAAAGGAAAAACAAAAATTAAAGATGAAAAATCAAAATAAAATGGGTCCCACGATTGGGGGAAAATTAGAAGGGATAATTTTTCTTCCCTTCTTTCTTTAATTTTTACTGTCCTCTCTGTGACCCTGTCGTCTTCTCTTCTTTGCCTACGATGTTCTTGGAAAATGGTTGCAAGCAAGCAAATCTGTCAATTTGGTGCAAAGTTCTTGCAGAACAAATTATCAATGACCGTGCAGAACTTCAGAGAACTTGTTTTAAGAGTCTAAAGGAGAGAGACAAAACTTCTCAAGATCTGGAGACTTTGATTTCTAAATCTTCTTTTTCAAAACTTTCATTTGATTGGGGCTTAGGCTTTATTATTAATTTTCCAAGTTCATCTTCGGTTGTTTCTCTCTTGACTGATGACTCGGTCTAGAGATGCTGAGTCAACCGAGTCAGGCCGAGTCAGTACCCAGCTTGAACGATACAGCTCAAAGACATGCCTACAATGTAACATGACTGTTACAGTACAAAAGGTTGATTCTGAATCTTTTGCTAATCATACTAGAGAGATAGAAGAAAACCCTTAAACATGAAGCAAATAGAGAACTAGCACAAGCCTTTTATTGCCATAAAAAACATAACACATACAAAGCAAACAGAAACAGAAACCAGACACGGACACAGACAGAGAGAGATGAATGATCACAATAACCTACCAGCCATGCTCATCTGCAAATGGGGTTGATTTTGGATCATTTTCTGATTATTTATTACATTATGCTTTGAAACAAGAACTACAATATAACAACACAAGAAAAATAATGAGATATTAGCCATACAGGATTCCATGAAATAGAACCCATTAATGCCTTACTGTGACTTGCCGGTTCGCTAGGCTTTAGCCATAGCCTCTCTATGCGTATCTCAGACTCTGCAGAATGCTTTTTTATTTACTCTCTCTGGTTCAGTTCCTCTGATCATAGTGAAGCCAATAGCTAAGCCCAGGCAAACAGATGGGAGCGGTGGAGGAGCGTAACTCTGACGCGCCTCCTCCATGGTTTCGTGTTTTAGGAGCCATGGATGGATTTCTGCCAGCACAGCTTCTTCTTCATGCCTATCAGATTCAGGGATTTGATAGATTTGAGAGCTGTGAGATTTCTTAAGGGTTTTTTCTTCTGTATATATTTCTCTCTCTTGAGAGAGAAATCTAGTGGAGAAGCAATCTTGCGACCCATTTCTTTATATAGGCGAAGACTCACAGAGACATAGAGAGGTTTTGAGAAGTTGGAATTTGGAAAGAGTGGGATCACCTATTCATTTCATTATCCAAATGCCTCTTCTTTTTGCTTTAAAGACGTTTGATTTGATGAAGGAAATAAAGTTGGGGAATCGCGCTGCAGCCCTAAAAATAGAAAAATTACACTACATGCTCAAAAAATTTTGCAAATGCACGGCAAGTTCAAGAGCCTTTATGATAATTTTTTTAAGAAGTAAAAGTACAATTTAACCCTTAATTAACTTGACATATATAAATATTCAATTAGTCATTCATGAACATTATATTATGCAAAAATAAATATTATATTGTATATTATCTACATAACTTATATATTTTATTAAATATATTAATCAATTAAACACGCGTGAATTTTGTATTGAAAATTCAAGAATATTATATTAAAAATCCATGAACATCGTGTTATACACTCATGAACATTATATTATATATGCTCTACATGTCTATTTTAATCAACATTTAGATCAAATGGACGCTTATAGACATTGTGTTGAGAATACATGAACATCATAGTGTGCACTCATTAATATTATGTTACACATGCTCTATATGACTATTTTAATTATGTTAAGAATTTGTGAATATTATATTGTACATTCATATACATTGTGTTATACATGCTCTATGTAACTTATGTTTTAACTAATATACATATCAACTGGATACTTATGAATATTGTGTTAATAATACATAAACATCGTGTTGTGTATCTATAAATATTATGTTATACATGCTTTGTGTGACTATTTTAAATATATTAAAAATTCATAAATATCATATTATACATTTATATGTATTGTATTGTACATGCTTTGTGTAACTTATAGTTTAATTAACCTACATATTAACTGAATACACATGGATATTGTGTTAAGAATTTAAAAATATCGTATTGAGAATTTATAAATATTACATTGTACTTCGTGGATAAGGGTTTAGCATAGGTTTTGAGTTTTTAAATTATAGAAGGGCAAAATTATATTTTCTCTCTTAAAAAAATTGCAACAAAAACCTTTAAAAATGTTGTGTATTTTCAAAAAAATTTAGGCCTACACTATAATGTTTCGTCTCTTTAAGACCTGCAGTGCAATTTTCCCAATAAAGTTGCAATATCATGACTCAAGAGATGCGAGAAAGATGCTCCGATGTCCATTAGAATATACTTCAATTAGTAATTAACAAAGTATTCATTTTTAGTATTTTATTTAATATAATTCCGCAAATTTTATTTCAAGCTTATGTTTTAGTCCCTTTGATGTTGTCTTGTTTAACTTTAGTCGTTTGAAAGTTGATATTATTTAAATTTAAATGTCCCTTTTTTATTTTTCATTTTTTGTAAATACCATTGTGGTTATTAGCAAGAAAAGTTTGCGTGATTCTTTGATGACTTAATTTGGATAATTTCTTGTCAACTTAAATCCTAATTTTTATGATATCATTCTTAATTATCATTCAAACATTGTGTTTTTTTAGGATAAATTAGTCCGCGGGTTGAAAAAAATCTTGTATCCAAAAAATATAAATTAAATTTTTAAAAATTTGAGAATATAACCAATTCACACTGATATATAAAAATTTTATTATTGACATAAAAGGAATTTATCATTGAAAATTTATATGAGGTTTATCATTAATATATAACAACACATCATTGACAAATATAATAAATTGATCATAATATAAAATATAATAAATATTAGATTGTTTACTTAATTTGGTCCTATAATATGAATTATATTTACAAAAGTCTTTTTTTTTATGACTTTCTTGTTGAAATGATAATGCTAGCAAAAAAATATCTATACGATGACTCTTTGGTGACTTAATTTTAACAAATTATTGCCAAAGTAATTTTACCTTTCATTTAAAATCTCTCTCTTTTCCCATTCACATGCTAGATTTTATATATTTTCTAAGGAGAATGATAAAAAAAAATCCTGTTAAAATATGAAAATGGCAAATAAGTACCACAAAATTTGATAATTATTTTGAAGTTCCTATATAAAAACTTGTCTAACATAATTTTTTTTATCAAATTACATTTCTAACTCATAGTAAAATAATAAAAAAAACATACTCATTTTGTTTGAACATGTAAGGCATTTTTAATCAAATCTCATTCTCAATAAAGTAGTTACTTACTTTCAAATATTTATTTCTTTATACCCCTATTAACCACCTTATAATAAATATAAAGTTAATGATTACACCTTAAAAGATAAAAAATATCTTATATTTTTGAATATACAACTCCTCAAAAATACTTTATATTTTTAACTAAGGGAATAGTTGTTAATAATTAAACTAAAGCTGTTACTATAGGAAATGTAGTTGTTATTTTTTTTCCAAAAAAAATCCATTTTAATAATAACCAACAGCTTAGTTATTAGTTTAGCTATACAATAATGAATATATTTTTTGTATTAACAATTTTAGTTTAACAATTAACAACTTCAGTTAAATTATTAACAACACATTAGTTATGACTTCAATTTAGTTACACAATGGCAACTATACTTCTTATATTTGATAACTTTATATTTATTATTAGCAATTTTAGCTTAGGGTTTTAACTTTTAACAACTACTTTTTTTATTATTTATTTTGTAGAGGGTTAAAAATATAATTTCATAACAAAAATTGACAGACAGGTCCCTTGATAGTTCATGGTAATTATTTATTATTTACCAATTTTGAGAAGATTTATTTGTCATTTTCCTTGTTTTCCAGGGCTTTCTTGTTGAACGAATGCTCTTAATCCTCACCCATGAATGATTAAGTTAAGGGATTAAATTAATAATACTAAACTGACAGTGAGGGAGAAAAAGCATATTTTAGCTTATATAATTTATATGGAAAGCCTAATCTAAT